TATTTAAAAATAAACATGTTCTAAATCTACTTAAAAATAAATCATATTTTAGTTCAAACTAATAAATAAAATAAATTATAATTTCTACATCGATCTTCAACAGTACCAAAACCCGGAGATCCCACATTCAATGCTTGGGACAAAGAGGATTTTATGATCATAACATAACTTTGAAACTCTATAACTCCAAAAATTAGCAAAACCATGATATTCCTTCCTACAGTAAAAGATGTGTAAAATGCAATCGACGAAGTTTATTCTAAAATTAAAAATGCTATGCAAAATCATGAACTGACTGTCAAGACATGATCCACCAAAAAATGGAACAACTCAGTTATTGAATAATCTAATATATTAAAAAACTAGATGAGTATCACAGCCTTACCATGAACTATAAAGATGCAGCCGATCTTAAGAAATTTGTAGAAAAAGACTGTGCTTATCAATTGCTAGCAGGATTAAATCTTGAATATGATCAAGTACGAGTCCAAATTTTGAGAAAAGAGAAAATGTCAGTACTTAATGAGCTAATTTCCATTGTAATACTGGAAGAGAGCAGAAGAATGATCATGTTAGAACCTTGATGTACTAATAGTTCAACACTCATCTCGTGCGCATATATTGTTCAACAAGGGGTATTGAAACTACAATGAATAAGAAAGATTTTAAAAGTCAAGAATCAAGTGGGAAGACCTCATGCACTTATATTGTGATAACAAGTCAGCCATAGGCATTACAGGACCAAACATAACGAGATTGATAAACATTTATCAAAGAAAAACTTGATAGTGGCATAATTTGTACCTCATACATGCCTACTAATTCTCAACTGTCAGATGTGTTGATTAAAGTCTTGAGTTATTTAACATTTCAAACTCATATTTGGCAAGCTAGAGATGGACAATATCTATTGAGGAGGAGTGTTACAGAAATAGTAAATTAGGTTAAAGGATATAAAGATAAAATACACCATATATAATTAATTGTAACTAATTGTTCATTTCCTTTTTTATATTAGAAAACTTATATATATATATATAAGTTTGTGATATTCAATATATAAAAAGATGTAGGAAATTAACTGTCATTTATTCTTTTCTGCACTGTCATGGAAAGGTGAATAACAGAATTAGTAAGGTGTCCTGTACCAATTCTGATTATTCCCTTACCCCACAAGTTTGTTATAAAGTTGTTGAATTTTTTTTTTCTGTATAAATTAACCTCTTTGGTGCTGAGAATAATAAGCAAAAATTAGAGGAAGAATTCTTTTTCACCTCATCACAAAAAGCTTTATGGTATCAAAGCCATAACTAATCAAAGAAAGCCTTCCCGATTACGCCACATACACAAATGGTGATGGATGAGCTTCCATCCTCTCCACCCGAAGTCACCTCGGGTTCTTACCTTCCAACACAAGTCACTCATGGCTTAGGAGAATCATCTACGTTGTTTATCACCGAACATAAGCTAAATGGAGACAACTGCTTACAGTGGTCATCATCCTATCTGTTATTCATCCGGGGTAAAGGGCACGACGGACACCTCACTGGAGAACTCACCCCTCCTTCTCCGAATGACCCGAATGCTCGCTTATGGAAGATTGAGAACAGTATGGTCATGCCCTGACTCGTGAACTCAATGACACCTGAAATCGGAGAAAATTTCCTACTCTATAAGACTGCACAAGAGATATGAGAAA